CGAGCACCCCTCGGACTCCTCACTATTTCCTATTATGCCTACTAAAGATGAGAATAATGTCTTTGTTCTGCTTTAGAAAAAGCAGCAGTGGATTTTAAGGAGCAAATAAGAAGACTGTTAAAATTGATAAGCCCATCTCAACAAAGGGTAACTTTAAAATCCACATTCTTCTCATTTGAAAAATGCACCATTCTTTATTGCAGTCAAATCCACATACAGGTGTATATTTCTCTGTCAAAAATCTCTCCCCCCCCCTTTCAGCATCCCAGAATTTAAGATAATCAAGAAAAGAAACATACTTTTCCTAAACTTCTACCCCTGTTACCTTCCTGGAAGGAGTTGCATTTTTTATTTTTAAAAGTAGACCTCGTGCATTAATGTTTTTATAACCGGGACTTCTTACTAGCAATGTAAGGCTGTTTCAGAATTAGGCTGGATTAAGCTGAGTGCTACTTCTGTTGGTTTCTTGGCTAGTCTTCTTTTTTTGCTCCAGGTTGGAAAAAAAAAAGCTGCTTCTCACTCCCCAGAAAATTGTTGCTAGTTTATTTATTCTATTTGTTCTTGGCAATTCTTCTTTCCTGCTAAAGGTCAGAAGAAGCCATGAAGAAGAGAAGCGGGTGGATTCTAAGTGTTTATAGGAAAAAAAAAATCACGAGTATTGGTAAAATTACTAATAAACACATTTATTATTAGCAGAAGTAGCTTTTCACATGGTCAGCCATCAAGTACGGTATTTTGAATGGATAGCTGCTACTTAACTTAGAGGCTTCTGTTTTTCAGAGGCTACAATATGCATTGTTTTTTTGTTCCACGCTGCACCAGACAAATTTGATAAAGGATGGAATGGTTGAAAACTGAGTCCTAGGAATGTTGCCTGTTGGGTGCCAAGCACAGCAGGGTGTTGTTGTTCCTAGTTTTGCATGTAGTGGCATCAACTCTAGACTCAAATGTTGGGAGGAAACCAGCCAGCTTGCAATTCTAACTTAAATTGGCTTTTAAAGAAAGTAGTTGGGAAGACAAACATCCCATTGTCATGTGATGCTGGGAGGGGGAGGGGAGTAAATCTATCTGATGAATCTTTTTCAAGGGAGAACAAAAAGAAACAAAGGTTCCTTACAAGAATGTATTTATTTATTTATGGGTCCTTCCGTATGTGCGTAACTCACGCAGGTATGAGATTGAACGCTGTACCCCGATGTAAAACAAAAATCCAAGTACAGTTAGGAATAGTAACCCAGTAATAGATGATTGGGAAGAATTTTGTGTACATGTGTCCAAGTGTGATCTATTCCCTGTGCCTTTTTAGGTTGGATTGCTTTGAATCTGTTTTTCCAACGGTGGTCGGAAGACCTTCCTATATTTATTCATCCTAGCTACAGGATTATTATTCTTGCTTTTGAATGCAGGTAGCCCTTGATTTACAACCAATCATTTAGTGACAGGCTCAACAGCATTGAAAAAAAGTCACTTAACGACAGTTTTTCACACTTAACCGCAATTGCGGCATCCCCATGGTCACGTGATCAGAATTCGGACCCTTGGCAAGTAGCACGTACTTAAGATAGTTGCGCTGTCCTGGGGTCTCCATTTGCAACCTTCCCAGCTGGCTTCCGATAAGCAAAGTCAGCGGGGGAAGAAGCCAAATTTGCGTAACAACTGCTTGTTTCACTTAACAGCTGGAGCGATTAGCTTAACAACTGGCAAAAAGGTCACAAAAGGGGGCAAAACTCACTTAACAGCTACCTTGCTTAGCAGTGGAAATTTCGGGCTGTAGTCCTAACCTGAGAACCACCTGTAAGGTCTCTTACGAGAAAAATCTTGGAAGTTACATGGCTCTGTTGCTGGAACTTATAAGTCCATGCAAGGGATGGTCCACGGTGGGATTTTCAGGGCTGTGTAAGGCGACCACGTCCTAGCCTTGTGGATTGCTATGGTGGGAAAGAAAGAGGGCACCCAGATGATGAGAATCACATCCTGACATCTGGCAGGGAAGTGATAGTTGGATATTTATCCATTGTCTCTGTTTCCAGAGCTCCACTAGGATTTGGTTAATTGGTTGTTTATTTTACACTAGCAAGTTCCATTGAGAAGCAGAGCATTATCTGCCCATGTATTATGTAGGAGATGTTCATGCAAAGCTTTGGACAAGCAAAAGATAATTCGTCCTGATGTTTCCTCTCTGGGCAACAGAAAACATTTCCCATATATGATGACGTTATCCATTAAGTTGAGTCCGAATCTTGGTGATTCTATGGGCCAAGTCTCATATCTATCTATCTATCTATCTATCTATCTATCTATCTATCTATCTATCTATCTATCTATCTATCATCCATCCATCCATCTATCTATCTATCTATTTATCATCTTCTTGTGCCATATCTGTTATAGGATGTTGGCGATCATGTTGGCAATCCTGTTTTTTATCAGCAGCTGCATGAAAAAGTGCTGCTGAGTTTACACACACACACACACACACACACTGTATATTCCCAAATTACATGCCTCCAAAATGCTGGGATGAGTTTTAAGTGTTTGATACATAGGCAGAAACCAAAATTGAATTGGTGCTCCAAATAAAAAGTAGTCCTCAACTTACAACAGTTCATAGTGACCGTTCAAAGTTACAACGGCACTGAAAAAAGTTGACTTACGACCGTTTTTCACACAACCGTTGCAGCCTCCCCGTGGTCAAATGATCAAAATTCACTTGGCAGTTGGTTTACATTTATGATGCTTGCAGTGTCCGAAGGTCATGTGACCCCCCTTTGTGACCTTCTGACAAGCAGAGTCAACAGGGGAAGCCAGATTCACTGTGTTACTAACTTAACAACCGCAACAATTCACTTAACTGTGGCAAGAAAGGTTGGGCTCTCAATTGTGGTCGTAAGTTGAGGACTGCCTGTACTACACTATACCCCTACAGACACACCCCACTTGATTTGAGCCAAAAGCTGAAAAGGGATTTTTTCCAGATAAATTTGAAACTGTTGACAAATGGACAGATCTGATTTTGACTGACCAGCACATTCTTGTGAGTAACATAACTGCCAAGACAAGCAGTTTTCAGAAAGAGCCCTTTCTTCGGTTTTACCTGGAGAACTTGGAGATTGAACCCAAGACCTTTAGCAACACAATACCACAAATTATTTCCCTCTAATAGGCAAGACTCCACTGGGTCTTGAGGGAACAATAGGGAACAGATTGGGATACATAGAAGGCAGGATAGGAGGATTATGTTAGAAATATGTTAGAAACTGATATGTATACACGGTGTTATGAGGAATGTACAACAGTTCATTCCATCTAGTTGTATCCATCTAGAGCAGACATGTCAAACTCGTGACGTCACATGACGTCGTGTAACGTATCGGAGCTTTTTCCCCATTGCCAGCAATGGGGTGGGTGCGGTTTCGTCGTGATCAGTTTGACACCCCTGATCTAGAGCAAAACTGGAGAAGCTCCATCCCATTGGTTTATTCAGTCCAGCAGATTCGTATACACATACACAAAAAACCTGCTGCATTAGGCCATCTTACCCAGGATGCTGTGACTGATATACAGTGTCTATTCCAGTGCATTCTGAAAACTCAGAAATATAGTCAACAGGTTAATAGTCATCTTCATCACTGCATCCTAGAAGTTGACTTTTAGGATGCAATGTAACTCCTTGTGACTCTAGAATTAGTAAACAGCCATCAAGCTAGCCATGGATCACCCAATCATCCATGAACTTGTCTGTTTGAAGACTAATGGAATGAATGATACATGATACATTCACAATCATTTTGGAAATAAATTCCATAATGCATTGCATAATGTAAAAAAAAAAATATCCTTGAATCCTCTAGTGAGATCTCTTCCCTTCTCCAAGGACCATCTCCCACCACGGATGGTGAGAGAAGAAGAATTTCTCACCTTCAAGCTGAAGAACTGTAGATAGATTAGTCCATCCTTGGAATTGAATTGACTTCCCATCCCTAATCCTGATTTTAAATATGCCAGTTTGCTATTGTTGATACTCTTGTCAAAGTCACAGAAGACTTTCATGTGTACTTTTCTCATGGAGTTTGATTTGTGTGATACCTGAACCTGTTTTGCAAATAGTATATTGATCAGATTTAATATGTGATGCTTGTCTTGGCTTATTGCAGACTTGACTTGTTAAAGGAGTCCAGTATTGTATTTGAGAAGATCCTCTTCTTCAAGAGTCTCTTGCTCTTTTTAATACTTTTGTTCTGTTGTTTTGTTTATTTTTATGATTTTTTAAAAGTGACATCTACTTTGAACATTATTAATAAGATTTAAGATAGCTTCTTTTTTTAAAAAAAAGTTAAAAGCCATATGTTGAGCTTGAAAAAAGAGAAAATTGGTGGTATGTTACAAAAACTTGGATTTTACACTATCTTGGTTTTTGATGGCTTGGTAAGTAGGACAATTTTCACATTGCTTAGTGATAGTAATTCCAGCATTCCTGGTTGCAATCATTAAACAAAGACTGATTTGTATGTTGTTAAATGAGGACCTCAAGTGACTGTGATGTTTGGCTTCCTGCCTGCTTCCCCATTGACTTTGTGTTTTTGGGAAACCAGCAGAGAATATAGAAAATCACAATCAGGTTGCAGGGATGCTACAAGAGTCAAAACTAAGGGGGGGCGGGGCGTCATAAGTACCACTTGTTCAGTGCCATTGTAACTTTGGACGGTCGCTGTAGAAAATATTCATAACCTAAAGACTACCTGTGCATGAAGGAAGATGTTGGCTTCTTTGTTGGCAGTCTGGTGCCCTGTCCTCCAAATGTGTTCCAACTTCAGTTCCCAGAATCCTTGAGCCATAATACCTATTTGCCTGTTGGTTACAGAATTTTTAGAGGTTTTCCCAGGGCATCTGGCAGCAGGGTTAGAAGTTCTGCCCTACTCCTCTTCTTCATTTGGAATCCCGTCATTTTAAACCTTGAAAGTGTGTTAACCATTGGACATTTGTCACTTTTCTTTCTTCAGTTGATCATGTGGTTCCTGAGCCCGGCACCAGTTTGATTTCGGCATTTGATCAGTGGCGAGAATGGGCAGACAGCAAGACCTGCTGTGATTACTCTTTGCATATGGACATCACCGAGTGGCACAAAGGGGTTCAGGAAGAGATGGAAGCCTTGGTTAAGGATCACGGTAAGTCCTGACAAATTTTGAGTACCTACGTGAGAGTCCTATTCTAGGTTAGTGCCAAGTGACCTGGGTTCTAGTTGTTGTCCAAAAATTTCTCTTGGTGGGGAGAATTTCCCCTTGCTCAAACTGGGATGAATCAACCTGGAGACATTATAAAGTAGTGAGGAACTTTTGGACTGAATGGCCGTGATCTAGTTTTCTTTTGTTCCAACATTTAGCCAGCAGCTGTGACGGGCATTTTCAGAGGCCAGTTTTGCTTTGTGGTTGTAGCTCTTGGCAGCTCATAGGCTGAGAGGCTGTATTATTGAGAGGCACATCACAAAGTGGCTTGCTTTGCCTCTGAAGATGCCAACCACAGCTGCTGGTGAAATGTCAGAACAAAAGAAAACCAGACCACAGCTGTTCAACCCAAAAACCCATCACTGCCTCTCTGATGCCAGCTGTGAAAGCCTACAAAATAAAGCAATATGTGAAATTATACCAAGCTTAGAGTTAACAATAATAATTAATGCTGCACTGAGCTGTGATGGCATAGTGGTTAGAATGCAGTACTGCAGGTTAACTCACTGCTCACTGTCAATAGTTCAATTCTGACCCGCTCAAAGTTGGTTGAGCGTTCCGTCCTTCTGAGGTTGGTAAAATGAGGACCCAGATTGTTGAGGGCAATATGTTGACTCTGTAAACCGCTTAGAGAGGGCTGTAAAGCACTGTGAAGTGGAATACAACTCTAAGTGCTATTTGCAGCAAACCATTACAGGGTGGAATTTATAAAAACTTGCTGATGAGTGACTGCTGATTCACTTTCAGTCTCTCTTTCTAACAGGAGTCAATTCCTTCTTGGTGTATATGGCTTTCAAGGACCATTTTCAGCTAACAGATTCCCAGGTAAGACTGCTGAGCAGGTTCTGAACATTGCACTTCTACCTTAATCCTAGGCTGGTCCTGGTTGCATTCCACAGTATAAGTGGCTCTGTGAGAGCTGGATGAACAGGAATATCCTTCCAAATTAAGAAGTAGACAAAATGGATTGGCTGCTTCCTGAAGAAACTTGTGTCAAGGAATTTGGCAGCTGGGTTGGAAGCAAATGCTTCTTGAGTAGCAAGTACAATGGCTAGTTGCTGGAGCATTTTTTTTTAAAAAAAAACTTTCCCAAGCACATTCCTTTTCTTTTTTTCCATTATTGTCATTTGGATAATAAGTTGAACTCCTGGCAAGGAAAACAAAATACAGCTGTCCTTGTTCCTATCAATCAGAATTTAATGCATGCAAACACATTTGAACAAGGTTCTGGAAAGTGATTTCTCCATTAATGTTCAAAAACCACCACATTTCTTTCTTTTCTTTTTTCTGTTTCTCTCCTTATGAAGACAACTTCAATTTCTTTTTTTCTCTGTCTCTTCCTCTCCTCCTAGACTCATTTGGAATTAGGTGGAAATTTAATAATAAATAAACAAATGAACAACCTAAATACTTTCTCAGTTCACTTGACCACTCTTTTGTTCTAGATCAGCCTTCCCAACCCAGCCTCTTTCAATAACGGATGGAAGTATATTTTCCCCAGTTGTATTGGAATTGTAGGCGTGGTGTTTGAGTGGATCTAAATTTCCAGGCAAATGGACTTGAACTGCTAAAGAGCAGCAGGAGAATAACATCGCTTATGTATTAAATGTTTGACTCATCATTAACCAGAATTTTCCAGATTCCTTTGCTTGTAGGCATGTGTACGAAACAAGATGACCTTTGAGCCATTTTAGCAAGGTTGACTTATGCTTTTAATTTAATTAGCTGTTAGCCTAGAGCCTTTACTGCAGAGCTGATTGTATCAGGACTATAGTTTCAAATCCTCCCTTGCCTTTGGTACATAATGTCCAACCTTGGGAGAGCCTTTTCTTTCCAGGGTAACCTACTACATTTTTATCTAGCAATATTTTAAAGTGGAATAATATCTTGCCAGGCTGTGGAAGAACGGTGGTATAATTGAAAATATCCATACGGGGCCCTGCCTTTTTAGAGTTTGGATATTGCTCAAAACTCATTTGGCCAGGATAAGATAGATCAGGGGTCTTCAAACTTGGCCCTTTTATGACTTGTGCATGCTGGCTGAGGAATTCTGGGAGTTGAAGTCCACAAGTCATAAAAGGGCCAAGTTTGAAGACCCCTGAGATAGATGGTTGAATGGGTTTGCAAAGATCCAGTTATAGAGTCTTTGATGTTGGTGTTGAGGAAGATTGCCCAAATGTAAATCACGGGAAAGTGATTTATACAGACAACAACAAATTTAAGTAGCATTTTGTGGCTGATAGCAGTGGGGGAAAAATAACTAGAGTTAGACAGCATCTCATTTGTTTTAGTCATAAGGAAATTTTGCCCTAAGTCTGAAAATCCCTGGACATTGTCCAAATAAACATAAAACTGAGGTCAATGACCTTTAAAAGACTTTGAAGTTTGAGAGTAGGAATCTGAGTTCTTAAAGTAACATGGAATGGATTGGGAAGTAGCTCAGGAAAATGCATGTTTTTTTTCTTTTTTTCAACAGATTTATGAGGTCCTGAGCGTAATCCGTGACATTGGTGCAATAGCTCAGGTCCACGCTGAGAATGGTGACATCATTGCAGAGGTAACTCCTATTTGCAGGGCTGTTAGTAGCGTTTCCAAATGGGCTGATTACACATGGGATTCAGAATTTGGCTGTACAGTTTGCAAAGGATGTTAAAAAAATGATGTATTAGAGTGAGAAAATAGCCCAGAATGTATTTCATCAGAGAAACATGCTTGCCAAATGGATACGATGTGAAAATTACATCAAAAGATCCACACAGTAGGAGAAGTGTATATGCTATTAATACTCTCGTGCCTGTTTGATTGTTTGTAACCATCAAATGGGCGAAACAGTGCATTGCAAGGCAACATTTTTTGGATTAATGTGCCAGAAATGAGCTCACTTACAAAATGCTTCTGAAATCCAGGATCTCTGATTCACGTGCGATTGAAATTTGACAAAGCTAGGGCTGTTTCAGCGCTGCCACACTTCCACGTTGCTGTGGTCAGCTGTAGTCACGTGATTGCCATTTCCGGAGCTCCTTGCCAGCTTCCCATAAGGAAAATCAGTGGGGGAACCTGCATGAAGCCAGAAGGCACTCCTTTCCTATTACTTTTTTTTTGCCTGCCTGTGGTCATTAAGGAAATATCTCTGAGACAGTGACCCTGTGGGTTGTCTCATGTGCAACTAAAAGTAAACTGACTTTAAATTAACATTACAATAAATTGTAAACTCGGTGAAAAATGGTGGAGAATACAGTTAGACTAATGAGAAACAAATGATACCAAACCTGAAAGATCCCACAGGGCTAATGTAAGAATACAAATATTTGAAGCTTGCAGTCTTTAGTCCCTGTAAGGTGGTCCTGAGATAGAGAGCTGGAGAACATCTGGTATAGGCTAAAACAAGATTGTGATTGAGTATATTGTAAGAGCCAGCATCATCTCAGTAGGTTGTGTAGACCAGACCATCACATTAAGCCATGGTACAGTTTCCTTATTTGGGTGGAATGTTTGTTAATACGGCAGTTGTCTTCTGTCATCTTGGGCAGAGTCTCCAACCTTGGCAACTTGAACATTTGTGGACTTCAACTCCCAGAACTCAAAATGCCTCATGTTGAATGGAGAATTCTGGGAGTTGAAGTCCGCAAGTCTTAAAGTTGCCAAGATCGGAGACTTCTGATCTCGCAAGGGGTTTAAGTTTTAGCATGTTATATGAATCCCACCTAGAAATTGGCCACGTTGATAGAAGACCTTCTACTAGAGTGGAGCTAGAGGACCTAGTTCAGAATTCTTAGATCTGAAATTGGCTAGTCAAATAAGTTTGATCTCTGCCTTTTTTCCTATTCCTTAGGAGCAGCAAAGGATCTTAGAACTGGGGATCACTGGTCCTGAAGGGCATGTTCTGAGCAGGCCTGAAGAAGTGAGTGCATTAAAATGTTTAGCATGTTCCTTGGTTTTGGCTACATTTCAGAGGCCCGCAACATTGGTGGAGCAGTGCATCTTAAATTCAACTATTTGTATTCTGTATTTAGTGGGTCTCTAAATAGAAAAGTCACTTGCATTTTATATGCACAAGGTTTGTGGGTAAAGCTTTTGCATCTTTTAAGGTTTTTAAATAGTGTTGAGCAAATATTTTTTTTTTCTACTGAATGTGTTAAAAGAAAAATGCCTTTAGAAATCCTTTCACAATAGAACACGTTCAAAAGTAAATGAGTAAAGTATTTTTTTTTTTACTTATTTAGTGGTAGGTGCATTTTTTCACTGTACAATCCTTCCTCCAGCCACTCTGCCTTCCATATTTTCTCATTAAACCCCATGGAAACCTGGTCCCTTGGCCCTTAAAAAGTCCTTGGATGAATTCCCTTCTCTTGGAAAAATACAGAAAAGGAAACCACCCAATTTCTTTGGTGACAGGTGGAAAATTTCAGAAGGTTGTTTTATGTTCAAGAAGGAGGAGAACAAAGCTGTGAAAGATGGTTGAATACCTCCTTTGAATGTAGATGTTCCTACTTTTGATTGTCAGTATCTCCCAAAACATTTTTTTGAAAAGAATTTAATGTGAAATCTGGAAAAGTTGCTAGGCCTTGTAAACAACTAAAAACATGTAAACCATTATGTCCCAGAGGAAGAGCATTCTAAGGAACTCTGTTCTTCTTCCTCGTCACTGAGCCAGCTGTTTAGGCAATGAACCCGGCAGTTTACTGGAAGTCATTCCCCTGAAACAGAGAGTGCTCTGTATGGGTTGTATACGGTCAACTCCAGTACGTTCCATATCTGGAACAGAAAGTCTTGTTCCTATTTAGCACTGACCTAGATTGGTTAAGAAGCCGTTGACCTGGTAAGCTCCACGTGGGTGTTGGTTTTGAAAGAGCTTCTAAAGGATGGAGCACCAGCGGTGGTGGAAAGTGACAAGTGAGCCAGATTCTTCTGCCAGGAGGTGGAGGAAGCATCCCAGAAGGTTTGAGTTTGAGTGGGAGAAAAGCAATCCAGGTCGTCTTCAACTTAACAACAGTTTGTTTGGTGAACCATTCAAAGTTAGAAAGGCACTGGATCGTTTTGGGATCGTTTTTCAGAGGAACGACTCTTGCAGCATCTTCACGGTTATGTGATCAACATTTGCAACTGACTCGTATTTATGACGGTTGCAGCATCCCAGGATCATGTCATCATCTTTTGCGACCTTCTGACAATGGGGAAGCCAGTTTTACTTAGCAATTGGGTTACTGACTTAAACAGCTGCAGCAATTCACCTAACAACTAGGGCAAGAAATGTCATAAAATGGGGCAAAACTCTCTGAACTGCTTAGCAACGGAAATCTAGGGGGTCAGTCGTGCTCCTAAGTTGAGGACTACCTACACTGGAAAAAAAAAAAAGTGAAAATTTTGACTTGGAGGCCAGGGGAGTGGAAGGAGATGGAAAGCAGATAGTCCTGCCGAGATGGAAGAAAACAGGACTTCTCATCTCTCTTATTTCCCCAGTAAATTGTTGCAGAGTTCGTACGCTAATCGACACCCTTAGCTATTCATCACTGAAATTAAGGCTGTGGTGAACAGGTTCTCAGCTTAATTCAGTTCAGAATAGAGCTGGAAGGGACCCTGGAGGTCTTCTAGTCCAGAGGTCCCCAACCTTTTGGATACCAGGGACCGGTTCCGTGGAGAGAGGTTTTTCCATGGACCGGAGGGGGGCGTGGTTTTGTGTGCTGCCTGCATCCCGCGGATGGGGCTTTCCTTGTTTGTGCGGACCAGTTGCTGGCATGCTGCAGCCCTGTACTGGTCTATGGACCGGGGGTTGGGGACCCCTGCTGTAGTCCAAATTGCTGCTTCTGGAAGTAAGTAAAAACTTCCTAACAGAGACAACAATTAAATCAGTGGGCTAGGACCCACTAGATGACTTTCGGCCCATCACATCTCTTCATTCAAAGCAATATCACTGAGTTGTTTGGGAGGATAAAATTGGAAGAGGGAATCCTGCAGCAGCCCCTTTAAATTCCAAGAAATTATTATATGGGAGAACAAATGTCTTGGCACTAGGGGGTTAACTACTACTACTACTACTACTACTACTACTACTACTACTACTACTACTACTACTACTTCTTCTCCTCCTCCTCCTCCTCCTCCTCCTCCTCCTCCTCCTCCTCCTCCTCCTCCTCCTCCTCCTCCTCCTCCTCCTCCTCCTCCTATGCTAGAATTGTGACTAAGCTCACCAGGGCTGGGACTGTCACAAAAACCTGAAAGGCGACATTTTATAGCCGTGTTTTTCCATTCCCAAGATTGCGGCAGCATTTAATGTGGCTTTTACCTGTGGGACTTGGGTTCTTTGCACAATCTAATAAAGATTGATTGATTGATTGATGATTGATTGATCTCTGCTTCTTTGTCCTTCTCTCTCTGCCTGCCTAATAGGTGGAGGCCGAAGCTGTGAACCGGGCCATAACCATTGCCAACCAAACCAACTGCCCCTTATACATCACCAAAGTGATGAGCAAAAGTGCCGCAGAAGTGATTGCCTTGGCCAGAAAGAAGGGTGAGCTCTATTAATAGAATAGAATCAAGATCATGTGAAGTGTTAATACCACTTTACAATGCCGTGGTAAGGCCACACTTGGAATACTGCATCCAGTTTTGGTCACCACGATGTAAAAAAAGATGTTGAGACTGTAGAAAGAGTGCAGAGAAGAGCAACAACGATGATCAGGGGACTGGAGGCTAAAACATATGAGGAACGGTTGCTGGAATTGGGTATGTCTAGTTTAATGAAGAGAAGGACTAGGGATGACATGATAGCAGTGTTTCAATATCTAAGGGGTTGCCACAAAGAAGAGGGAGTCACACTATTCTTCAGAGGACAAGAAGTAATCAATGGAAAGTTATCAAGAAGAAAACCAACCTAGAACTACGGAGAAATCTGACAGCGAAAACAATAAACCAATGGAACAACTTGCCTTCAGAAATTGTGTGTGCTCCAACAGTGGAAGTCGTGGGTGCTTCTTCTCACTAGAAGAAGAGACTGGACAGCCACTTGTCTGGAATGATGCAGGGTCCCTTCCAACTCTTGTTATTTTGTTCTGTTATTCTGTTAAGCCTGATGAGGAAAAACATGACTAATTTTTCCATTCTTGTTTCATAGCAACTGTCATAAATCTCCCAAATGGTGGGATGTCTGGACTTCTAAACTTCCAGACCGGGTGAATGTTTGCAGGGAGCTGGTTGCACATTCCAAGTAGCTTGTTAGGCTGTTGGCTATTGAAATCCATGTCCTTTCTGTAAGCCCACCAGCTGGCTCAGTAGCTTTGCTAGTGCTAGTTTGCAAATGGGAAAGTGAGCTCATCTTTTTAGTCGTCCCCCCCCCCCCCCTTTGGCTAACATTGCCGTTCTTTGATATTCCCTTCTTGGTCTCCACCCTGCCCTGCTAAGCAGGATTGCCTCCAACAGCTTCTTCCGTCTTTTATTTACACAAAACATAAACCTGCTTTTCCATCTGTCAGTGCAGCAAGCCAGACAAACAGGATTTGGATTTCCCTGCCCTGACTGTTCCCTGCAAATCCAGAACTGGATTAAAGAGAATGCTACAAGATTGGTAGGCTATTGGGGAGTCCCAAATATGAAGTGGGGATGCTCTGTTTATATATTCAGCTGACAACTGAACTGGACAGAGTTCCTTCATCTGAGCAAAGGGCTTTCCAATTTTGACAACTTTTAAGACTTGTGTCTTTGGAGATTCTGAGTCATTCAGGTCATAGTGGATGAGGAGTCCACTATGAAAGAAGTCAAAGAGGCCATCTACATTTCAAAATTGAACAGCCCTCTCTCAACAGGGGATACACCATCCTCTATCTCCAGTCTACAACACAATCCTTTCAGCAGTTCCAAGAAGGTTCCACACCCATTTGCACTACTCAGGTGACCCTGACAACACAGGCAAATCTCCAGGTGGCCTCAACGACTCTCTAAAAGAATGCAAACGACCAGCCGTCTGCAAGAGTACAAATACTTCCATTCCCCACCATCCAGTCAGAGCTGAAGAAGCTTCTTGGATGAGAAACAAGACGTCTTCAAAGAAAAACAAGAAAGTCTTGTTGCCTCGTGAAAAAGCATGTTTGGGTTTAAGATTTGTGACCTTCAGCCCCCAGAATTCTGGCTGGGGAATTCTTGGAGTTGAAGTTCACAAGTCTTAAGGTTTCCAGCTTTGGCAAGCCCTGCGTTAGATTAAGGTCTGGTGGTTGCTCTTTGCTCTTCTCTGATCTGCGTTTGGAGTGCTGAAAAAAATGACCTGTATCCCTGGTATTTGGGAGTATATCCTTTGTGGGTGTCATAACTCCTGCAGCATTCCTCATTCTGATAACAGGCAGCCCCATTTTCCTTCTGAAGATGGTCTTCAGCACTTTGAGATGAAGCTTCTGAAATAGGACAATCAAGTACCCACTTTTAGTACTGCAGTTTTGATGGTTGCCTGTTTGTTGCTCCCAATACAGACGTGAACCAGAGCAGGAATGCCCTGGGATGGGCCCCATTACTCTCCTTAACCTCCCTGCACCCCCTTCCCAAAAGAATATAGCAGCATTTCACAGGGTTACAGTATGAAAATTGTGGCTTGATATGGTCCCCAATTTATGGTGGACTAGGAGCTGGTTTTTCTGAACAGCCTCATCCCTGCAAACCCATTGGTAATGCAGCCTTTGTCATGTTCATGCTTTACGCTTTGAAAACAAGTGCTTAAAAATAAGACAAAGGTGTGAAACAGTCTCAGAACCTATATTTATTTCTGCTGCTCATCACCAGGTTCTTTTATTAGTCCCAGGCAAAAATATTATCCCATAATTCCAGCCTTATTAGAATTTCCAGTTAAATAGCATTGAGAACACCTGTGCTCTTCGTTGTCTTGCATTGTTTAAGCTTTATTCATTTTTTTATAATAAAGCTTCGTTAGATGGGCTTGTCATAAGATGAAGGATTTTTTTTTCTTCTCCCCCTTCCTTCCTTGCCTTTATGCAGGAAAGTATTTGAACAGGACATGCTGCAGTCTAAATAAACCCAGATTAATCAGATAAGCATTTTTCTGGAGGTTTTATAGCGCTTAATAAACACTTTTATCTGTGCTCCTCAGCATAATGTGTGTTTCTGCAGAGTGTAGTCACTGAATTATGGCACGCTGAAGCTTTACTATCTTTTATTTATCATCAGTTACTCTGTTGCATGGATTAAAAAAGAAACTGCAAGGGGGTGAAGTTAAATGGCTGGCAAGAGAGGGTTGAGAATCAAACAATAACAATAGGGTTAAATGTGATGCCTTGCAAAAAAAAAGGTTTCCCATTGCATCCAAACTAGGCCACTTGGACTGTGTTGGGAATACCTGCCTGGAATGGGAGTTGGGTGGCATACAAGTTTAAACAATAACAATAATAGGAGTAGTAGTAATAGGTGCCTTGGCCACTTGAACAGCATCGGAATTGACAACTTTACCATCGGTCAGTTGCAAAAGGCAGCTTTACTCAGAATCGACAATGCCTCTTAACACCTTCAAACATTCACATCTGCCTATCCCAGGTCTTTGGGGTCGACTCGGTAGGTGAATAAAAATGCCAAATCCATGCTGAACATCTGACTGACTGCGACAAACCATAACAAATCCTGTAACGATACCTTTAACATCATCAAGCAACATCTGCCTATCCCAGCTCCTTGAGAAGCACTCACTAGGCAGATACAAATTCCAAATCCCAATCTAAACATCTGGCTGACTTTGCAACCAACCATCATAATATGAGCTTTGGGAAAACTAGCCTTCAATGAATCTTGTCCTCAAAAACATCTGACATTTATTTTCACTGAGTTTTGCAATATGAAAACAGGTTCACTGCCTCTTTTTTCAATAGGAGACCAGCAGCCTTCCTACTGAGAATGAACTATGCATTTTCCCACGAATCTTTTGTTCATTTCTTCACTGACACTAGAACAATGCCAAAAGCTCTCATTTTTTCCCTTATTTCAGTGTTCTTAATTAGCAGTGCTGGGAAAATACCTTGGCCAGTGTCCCACCAAGGGCTACATTAAACAGTACCTTTTTGAATCTGTATCTGCGTTGAATAAGGCACCTTCCAACACTTATTTGTTTGCCTGCATATTGATTAACCAAGTGTTTATGCAGCATTGCCTTCATGTTGAGCCTTGGTGGATAGCAAATCTCACATCCATTTAAATCAGAGGTCCTCCATCTATTGGACACCAGGGACTGGTTCCATGGAGAAAGGTTTTTCTGTGGACCGGAGAGTGCATGGTTCTGTGTGCTGCCTGCATCCCATGGATGGGGCTTTGCTTGTTTGTGTGGACCAGTTGCTGGCATGCTGCGGTCCCGGGGGTTGGGGACCCCTGATTTAAATGATGGCCCCATCCTATAACCTGACTTTGCTCTACTCTCCAGTTCTCCTTTCATAGTAAGCCAAGAAAGAAGGCGAGAACCTCGCAGTAATTCTCCTGTTCATGCGATCTTGATCAACAGGCACTGTGGTGTACGGTGAACCCATTGCAGCAAGCTTGGGTACCGACGGATCTCATTACTGGAGTAAAAACTGGGCCAAAGCAGCTGCTTTTGTCACTTCTCCACCACTGAGTCCTGACCCAACCACTCCGGACTTCCTCAATTCTCTGCTGTCCTGGTGAGTTGGAGGTAGTGGCGATCCTTATATGAGTTGATTCTGATCTCAAAACACGGGAAATGTGTGCCAAAGTAGGAAGAGAAAAAAATCTGTGTTCCATGCAGATGGCTTGGATTTGCACCGAGTTGACGGTGGCTGTTGTATTAAAAGACTGTCTTCACGCCTTCTCTTCCTCTTTGATTTATTCACCTCCTCTGCATTACTTTGGGATATTTGGGACCCAGCCTGAGAATGCGGCCCCAGGTTCTATCAAGGAGAGTTTTACGATGCAGCTATATCCTCTTGGCACCGCTGTGATTAAACCTGGGAAACTTTTCAAAATGTGTGGCTTAGAATTCCAGCCCTTCCTCCCAAGCTCAGATTTAAGACCACAGCTGGTAATAAAGAGGTGATTTATAAAGATGAATAATTTGTAGTCCTACCTAACGTTCGTTTCATGCAGTGAGCATTGATTTAAGTGCAGATTTTCTTTTTTTGCTTTTGCTGTCATTTTGACATTGATGAATAGAGCGACTCTTGTTTTCTGCTTCCAGTGGAGATCTCCAGGTTACTGGCAGTGGCCACTGTACTTTCAACACTGCCCAGAAAGCTGTTGGGAAGGACAATTTCACTTTGATCCCACAAGGAACCAATGGAACTGAGGAACGGATGTCCATCATCTGGGATAAAGCCGTGGTAGGTTGCTCTTGTTTGGGTTGGGATTAAGTCTACCAGTGCCAAACATGTCAACCATCTGTAACCAAGTTCCCTGCAGCCATGGCTTGGCAGAGGCTTTCCAACTTAGTTGATGAACATTGATAGAGATGACGTGAATCCATTGGCATCTAGGGAATAAATTTGGACATCGGTATTAAAACATTTAGAGATTCTCCCTTGCTTTGATAGGACAGTATCATTTGAGATCACATTGTGATTAGCATTTATTTAGTTGTGTAACTGTAATGATATGTGGGAGTGGCAGACAGGAGGAAGAACTGTAGCCTAAACAATCATTATGCAAAAGGGATCTCAGCCCATGGAAAGAAAAGGGGCAGGAGAAGCGTTTCATAAAGGACTCATCCTAGTTTTCTGGAAAGCAGAATTAAGTCCAGTCTTTTGCAGCTTGGTAGACTTTGTTTGCTTAGAATAAATTTGTACCTGGGCAATAGAGTTCAAAAGCAAATAAAGCCAAAGAATCAGGCGTAGCCCAACAAAATAATTCCTTTTGCAGGCAGCTTGAAATTCCTCTTCCAGGATGGGCATGGATGAGCACAAGCTGTTTCTTTGATGACCCCATTAGTTCTCCCCCCCCCCACTGCTGGATTGGTTTTCCCAGTGTGACCCTTCTTTGATTTAGGTTACTGGCAAAATGGACGAGAACCAGTTTGTTGCTGTCACTAGCACCACAGCAGCCAAGATCTTCAATCTGTATCCACGGAAGGGGCGCATTGCAGTGGGATCTGATGCTGACCTGGTGATCTGGGATCCAGACAGTGTCAAGACGTTCTCAGCCAAGACGCATAACATAGTAAGTTTGCAGATTAAAAACTAGGCCAGTATACGGGTGAAAATGCCGGACTGCAGTGGGAAAACCTAAGGGCTGGCATACTATTCATCCCAGAACAGCCTTGATGCCATAGGGCATGGAAGTTAAGCCTGGAGTAGACTTCTGCAACACTGCGTGTCATGGAACATAGGCGTCTGTCGCCTGGAGATGGTTGCATAATTGTTGCATTTATAGTTCTGCCAATGTTAACATTCTGGGTAGAGGCGCTCAAACAACAAAGCACCAACAGGAAGTCAGAACAACCAATCAGTGTGCAGGATGCATATCTCAGCATAACATATAGTTGAGATTTGGGAGTTGTGTGCTTCGGCTTGCCTGTAACCATTTGCAACCTATGTTTACCCATCAACCTCTTTGCAGCAGAGGTGTGCGTCTACGCCTATGCCCTATTTCAGAAAAGCCTAAATCATGCTTTCCTTCTACTAGCCCAACTTACCTTGATGATGGTTGTGGGGAAAGTGCTTTGAAATACATACTACTTCTTCCTATGCTGCTGGTCCAATCAAGATCACAACCCAAATTTTGCCTTCTCTTGACAAATAATGAAAACCTTGCCAGCCAAAGCTTGGCAAACATGTTTTGTAATATCTGTTAACTAGTGGGGAAAAGGCTAAATTAAAAAAAAACATTGACAGATTAGGTTTTAAGTTATTTGGGGGCATTAAAAAGAAGAAAAGAACTCATCAATTTATGGAAGATTGAAAATGGGGTGCTTTTTCTCCTTACATTTGGCAATCCCTAGTATGTGACGCAGAAAGAACTCTTCCTGAATATCTGCAAGAATTGACTAGTGAAATTCAATAGGCTTAGAAATGTATCAATATATTTGCATTTACATATACTCCCTTTTAGATTTATGCATTTGTTTTTAATAAATACATTGTTTTTATCGATTTAGCAGAATACTAATCAAATTGAAAATAATTTTTGAGATTTGGTTTAGTGATTCCACTGTATATTTCAGCCCCGGTAGAAGTGGAGCAGAGCATTCTCTGAACATCTGCAATAGAAGCAGCAACACGGTCCAAAAAGTAATGTTGTAATTGACCTTTTAGACAATTTAATAGGAGCACTTTCTGCTTCTTTGGCCTTGAGAAAAAAAAAAAAAGAGACAACAAGTGCTTTGTTGTCTTATTTACATCTCCTCTAGCTATTGGCAGAAAGCCCAGAGAATATTGAGAAACTTAAGCCCTGAAAACTGGCATCTTGGTCTAATAAAAACATTACAAGTAGTCTTCAATTTGCCACCACAGTTGGGACCTGAATTTCTGTTGCTAAACAAGGCAGTTTTAAGAAACTCACTGCAATTATTAGGTGAATCAGATAATTGTTAAGCAAATCCGGCTTTCTGCATTGACATGGTTGGTTGGAAGCCAGCTTGGAAAATGTGACCTTTACAGTACTCTCTGAGCGGTTTACAGTGTCAGCATATTGTCCCCATTAATCTGGGTCCTCATCTTACCGACCTCGGAAGGATGGAAGGCTGAGTCAACCTTGAGCCAGTCAGGATCGAACGCCTGGCTGTGGGCAGAGTTAGCCTGCAATACTGCATTCTAACCACTGCGCCACTATGGCTCCTAAATGATCACAAATGGTGATCACATGACCTTGGGAGACTAACCATCGTAAATAAATATATGCCAGTTGCCAAGTGCCTTAGTCCACAGGATCATGAGGATCCTTCAACAGCTGTAAGCACAAGTCATTGTTTTCAGTACTGTGGTAAGTTCACATGATTACTATATGAATGGTTGTAAGCCAAGGACTACTTGTATCTCATTGGAGTTCTGTTTCTTCGCTTCTGATAAGTTCTGGTAGCCTTGTCCTGTGGCTGTAGTGGGACCATCTTGCAGGATCTGGGAATGGCGGTCTTCTTCCTGCCCTATGGAACATCTGCCTTGATGTCTGGGGAGCACGTGCAATGTGTTTCATGACCAAACTAGGTAATATCGTCAATGCTGATGATGTTACCTAGTTGAGTCATGAAAAGTCTGCAAGAAAACCATCAAGCTCAGACAGCACCAAGGGCAACACAAATCTAACAGTGTTCATGCAGTTCCAGAGATGACATTTCAAGGATGGATTACTCATCAACTGTGGACCTGCCTTCTTTTTTTGTCTTCCAGAATGTGGAGTACAACATCTTTGAAGGCATGGAGTGTCGTGGGTCTCCTTTAGTGGTCATCAGCCAAGGAAAAATTGTACTGGAGGATGGTAACCTCCACGCAACTGAGGGGTCTGGCCGATACATTCCTAGGAAACCTTACCCTGACTTTGTTTACAAACGTATCAAAGCCAGAAGCAGAGTAAGTAGGTTGAATCATCACCACCTTTGTGGTGTGTGGTCTTGCCAATTATAAAGTAAATATAAAATGGGTCTGTTAAAAGGAGAATCTAGCAGTTGGGCACATCTGGAAGATTAGCAGATTGCTTTGTTAGAAACTTCCAGATACTTTTGATCAGGGGGTTGCAAATGTATGAAAATATAGAGAAGAATTATGAGTTTGGATTGATCTCCAACTTCCAATCTGCAGGCTGGCTGAGTTTTAAGACCTGTGGACTTGAACTGAGAAGATAGGAATATGTATAGGAGCCAAACAAAAACAAACTGGATTATTTATCCCTATATTGCCAGGCATTTTCTCATTCTTTTCTTTCTTTTCTTCCTTTCTGCCTTGACATCACTTTTCCCCAAGCTGGCTGAATTGAGGGGTGTCCCACGCGGTTTGTACGACGGCCCTGTTTGTGAAGTATCGGTGACGCCAAAAACGGTCACACCAGCTTCCTCCGCCAAGACGTCCCCAGCGAAACAGCAGGCCCCACCTGTGAGGAATTTGCACCAGTCTGGATTTAGCTTGTCGGGTACATGCTTTCATGAGGCTAAACTATTGTCATGGAATGTTTGCTTTATTTGACTAGCATTCTGGGAAGGAAGGAGATGGGGGAGAGGTTGTAAGAGATTTCTGCTTGCTAGCTTAGAAGGTTCTGCTTACTAGTTCTGGTTCAGTGTTGTAGGAGGAAAATACAGACAAGTACAGCTAAACATAGCTGGGTTATCATCCCCTGGGACATGTTTTGGGTTGCTGGAATGGAGATCTCAGTGAGATAACCTCAGCATCTGCAAACTGCAGTTTCCGGAATTACTGACTGAAAAGATCCTAGTTCAGAATAATGCAACGACATTAGGCTATGCAGGTCATCCTTGACTTACAATGGCTTACAATTGTGCACAGATTTTCCATTGCTAAAGCAAGCGAGTTTGGCCCCATTTTACGGTCTTTCTTGCCACAGTTGTCAAGTTAATCACTGCAGTTAAGTGTATAAAATAGTTGTTAAGTGAAGTTGGTTTCCCTATTGACTCTGCTTATCAGAAGTAGCAAAAAGGGGATCACATGACCACGGCGCACTGCAACCGTCATAAATACGAGCCAGTTGCCAAGCTCTAAATTTTGATCAAGAGACCGTGAGGATGCTGCAACAATCACCTTTTCCGGATGGTCACTGAGTGGTTGCAAGTCAAGGACTACGTGTGTGGTTTAGTTCACAGAGGAAGAGGAGGTGGAGGTGATGGTGCCACCATAAAAAACAAAATTAACAAACTGAGCAGCCATCGCAGTACAGATTCTATTGCCAGTCGAATAATCTTGGAAGACTTTTAAGGAGATGACCTCACGCTTGTCTATGATCGTAGAAATCAGTCTAAATGCCTTGAAAACTTAAACTATTAATTGGGGCGTGTGTTATTTTCAGATCTGCTTTTAAAAAGTGCAAGATAAGAAGAAATCAATTAGGACAGTGATGGCGAACCTTTTAGAGACCGAGTGCCCAAACTGCAATCCAAAACCCACTTATTTATCGCAAAGTGCCAGGGCTGCATCGGATGGGGATGGGGGGAGGCGTGGCCCACTGGGTGGGCATGGCTGCGGTGGTCACGGCAGACTGAGTGGGCGTGGCCACCTTGATGTTGCTTGGGGGGGTGCCTGTGGGGGCTGGGCAGGATTGGGGGAGATCCAAGGGGTCTCTGGTGGGTGGAGTGGTGGGCAGGAGGCTTGTCCTGCGGGATGAGGCAGGTGGTAGGGCGGGGGTTGCCATTGCTTGGGGCAAGGCGAGGCAGGGGCAGCTGCTGCCTGACACCATCAGCCCCCGCACACAGGCCAGCAAGTGCATGGGGGCGTGCTTTACTTGAGCTTGCTAGCCAGCTACTTCACCTCCTTTGTGCTGGGTGGGGTTGCCGCTCCGAGTGCCAGCGGTGGCCTAATGGACCTGCGCAAGCTGGCGGCGGCGGCAAGTGTGCCCACAGAGAGGGCTCTAAGTGCCGCCTCTGGCACGCATGCCATAGGTTCGCCATCACTGAGTTAGGATTCCCCTGGCCCAAGCCATGCAGATCAAGCCAGTCTTCATAAGGGATCTTCCCATTTCACCCATCCAGTGCAGTAGGGGTCCACAACCCTGGTCCATGGACTGTTACTGGTCCGTGGCCCATTCAGAATTGGGCTGTGTGAATGGCAGTTGAGCGTGCAAAGCTTCATTTGCGCATGTACGGGATTAGGTTGCATGGCTGAAACCATACCCTCCCTCTCCACCACCAAGGCTGCCAGTCCATGGAACCAGAAAAGTTAGGGACTGCTGGAGTACCGAGCAAGTCGAGATGAAATGACCGTATTGATCAGTCGAATTCACCAGATTGCAGTCAGCCAAGTCAACGCTTTAGACTTAGTTTGAAATCACCGTTGAATTGCTCACTTTAGATATGTGTACATCTTCAGTTTTTCACTCTGCTTCTCTCCCTCCCTCCCTCTTTCCAACTCGTAGGTGCACAGATCGACGATAATATCCCACGGCGTACTACACAGCGCATAGTTGCGCCCCCTGGTGGCCGCGCCAACATCACCAGCTTGGGTTAAAAATGACACCCCGGAGGAGAAAAAGTCCACCTAGCAGATGGTGGGAGAGGGTGGGGACACTTGAAAAGACCTTTTTAAAAAATTCTTTTAGAGCCTGTGATGGTTACTGCGGATGAGCAGTGGATGAGGCCATAATCTCTCCCTCCCCCTTTTCCTTTTATTGTTAACCATTTCCCACCCCGTCTCTTCACAAAACCTACTCACTTCTCCTTTCCTCCTTTCCTTGGAAACGGACACCTCTCCTCTCCCACCCCCTGTTTTCTGCTTTTAAAAGAGATAAACATTGACGTGTAGAACTTGTAGTTGACGTGACCATGAGCATCCTCGTTTCTTTGCTTTGCCTCTTTTATTTTTTTAAATTTTCTTTTAAAGGAAGGATAAAGTGAATGTCCCGTGAGCTGCCTCTCCCCCCCCCTCGTCTATTAAGGTTGGGTTTAATAAAGGGTTTAAACTGGACATTTCCAAAACTGGACTCACCAATCAGGCGACTTAGAACATGGGACTAACCATCCCAAATCCAAACCCATGGATGGCCTTCTTTCCATTTAGAGGGAGGAAGATTTTTGTGCTGCTAAGTCAAGGTGTAATTGTGTTGTGGAGAGAATGTATCCCTTCTTATTTTGATATTTAATACCTTTATCCCACTCTTGAAGCAATTGAAGGATTCTTCATTTTCTTATGTGAGAGTGTGTCTACGCATATGATTATGGGCTTGTTCTTGCCTGTTGCATTGTTTGACATGCCTTATTTTAGGATGGAGAGAATCTTTCCATTTTTCTATTTTCTTAGAGTTTTAGGGTCTCCATAGCTCCACCATATTCTGGTCATTTCTTGCATCAACCCAACCTTGAGTTTTGCCATCCAAACCCAACCTTGAGTTTTGCCATCTGAACTTCTTTCAGAAGTTCTCCAATGTGTTCTTCTAAGTTTTGGAACCTTCTAAAAGACATCCTCCACTGTACTTTCCCTAAACTTATCTGATTCTCTATATAGTAGACTCTCCCTTGTTTAAACTCTTCCATCTCTGTGGGAAGTAGGTTCTTAGAAAATCCAAGGCACAGACTCTTTAGGGGTTGAGAGCTCAGAGAAGGAAACTGGATGGGGGAGCATCTTCTAAATTACTTCCTGCACTTAAAAGTGTATTGCATTGAAAAAAAGAAGACATCAATCCATTCTTGCCACTATCCCAGTGTTTCTCAACCTTGACAATTTTAAGGCATGTGGACTTCAACTCCCAGAATTCCACAGCCAGCATTGCTGGCTGTGGAATTCTGGGAGTTGAAGTCCACATGCCTTAAAATTGTCAAGGTTGAGAAACACTGCACTATCCCAAATAAGAGGGCCAGCTGCAGAACTTAATTGTCACCATGGCTTGCTTCTTATATTCTAACAATACACGAATTGTTTCATAGCTTAGAATCTTAAGTCTACTACAGTATCCCCCTTGAGCTCAATCTTCATTTTTCTACCAATAGTACTATTACTATTGCTAAACCACCCAGAGAATGTTGTAAAGTGCTATGGGGCAGTAAGGAAGCCTAAATGCTGTTGCTAGTGTAGTCTTAGAGTGTTGGGTCTTGACTGAGTGAAAACTGAGATATGGGAGAGACCTGTAGGACTGATTCCCAGAATGCCTTGGTGCAAGAAAAAGAAAATGGATGGAACCCAGTGTGGCAAATAGAAATCCTTGCCGTTCTTTGATCACAATGTATCTGGATTAGCTTTGGAGTTAGGACTGCGCAACCTGTTTCGTGCAACAGCTGTTCTGTGTTTGAATTGAAGGTTTGAGGGAGCTGTTGCCTGAATCAAACCATGCACCATGTTTTGTTCCACGGGAGAATGAAGGAGGATTGTTCTGATCTGCACGCAAGTGGTTTGGTTCTTTGCCAGCTTAGAATACTTGCCAGGACTTTGCTAGCTTAGGGTACCAGCTTAGGGTACTAAAAGAAAGATGGCAGTAGACATAATGAGGAATGCTGATGAGATGCTCCACATGGGTGACAGCTGAGGTGAGAAACAGAAGTCTCTGAGAAGGTGTTAGGTTGAACCAGTGGAACATGCTACTTGGAACTGCTGAGGGGAGAGAATAGGTGTCGTTCATCAGCTTCACCCTACTTGCCCATCCAGTTTTTACTTGGCCAAAATGCAAAATAACTAAAGCATTGAGCTTTTAGGTTTTCCTGACCTGGAGTGGTTCTGCAGAAGTTCTAAAACTCTGCATTGTTTGGAGTTGAAGATAAAATGCTTCTACTTCGTGCACGTTTGCATTTGGCAGCGACTCTTACCTGCATTGTCCAGCCCCCGATCTTTAAACCTCTTGTGCTAGCAGAAGGCAGTGCATTCCTGACAAGCTAGTAGCATGGCCAACTTGCCATGAATCATCCTCCTTTTAAATATAGGTGCAAAGGTCTGAATGTGGGTGGATTTGAAGCGCTGGCCTAGGTGCACAGAGGCCTCTTAATTAATATTTATTATTGGTCCAGTGAAGTGGATGATTCTCTTGGCTTGTTCTGATCCCATGATAGAATCCAAATGTGTATAATTTGCAGGATTCAACTGTATGTAGCCCATACAGGAACTGCCATAGTTCCCAATTCTTACCTGATCAGAGTATATAGAAATACAAACGCTTCCGTTCAATCTTCTAGGAGGTTAACAGGCAAAGATTGTCAAATCTCCCTTTCCCATCTTTGTTGGGTTGGTTGAGTCATTATTTGGTTACATCCTTCCTTTATTGTTTATGTCTTCCTTTTTAAAATAGTAGTCTTCGTGTACATGTATGGGATTAATTTGTGCCTTTACTTAATCTTGGACGCAGGTCTTGGAAGGGGTTGACTCCGCTAAAGCAAAATTTTAAGTTTCTACTTTCCCTAAGCTAGACTCTTGAAACCTATGAAGGATATGATTGAATTCAAGGCCAAAAGTTATAAGGAATTTACACAGCACATATGAAATCCTAAGATTCCCAGATATCTCCTCATTTGTAAGTCATGAATGCTCCTTCCTGTCTTTCTGCTGACTTAAGGTCAGAAGTGGCTCAGTCCAACATGCCATTGTTCCTCTTACCACTTCCATGCATAGACCAGGCATAACATGGTATTGCTTCCCAGTTCTTGAGTTGACATCTACAGATGTAGTCAACTTTACTAGTCTGTTCTGGATCCTTGAACTGTCTGTATTTTTTCAGCTTGCCCCATATCGGACTCACGTCTACTGGAATATGTGTGAAGCCTACTATATGTGTTCGTAGATTTTCAATGTTCTGGTAGCTGTGGAGCAATGGGTGATGTGCGTAATCCAATAAGCTTGTGTTCCTCCTCCTATATATTCAGCCATATGAAGATAGTCCCTAGGACACTTCCTATCTTTGGTCTACATTCCCTATTGCTCAGACAGTAGTGTAAAAACACCTGCCATTTGAATGCTGAAATGTATGGGTGCGATAGGTATAAAATTGGAAGTTAACCTGCCTCTTTTCTTCCTTCCTTTTTTTTTTTTCATGCTGTTACGGGCAACGAATTCCAGACCATTTCAAATGGATTTCTTAATTTTTTTTATTTACTTACAAGATTGCACTTTTATTAAGAAAATATTTAGTAAGTGTAATATATATATGTTCAGCTATTTTTAATGTTATTTTTTTCATTTGTGCTTTAATAATGAATTTAAGCATTTTTTTTAAAATGGGAGAAAATTCTTTTGTAAAAAAAAAAAAACTCCAAGCAACCGTGTTTGTTTCAGTTGTGTGAAATGCATGCAGCTCTCTGCTATTCACTTGAGTCTTCCTTCTCTCTCTCTCTCTCTCCCTCTCTCTCTCTCTCCCCCCCTCTCTTTCTCTCCCTTCCATGTTCATAATTGTTGTTTTGCTTTGTGCTTTGAGATGGGGAATAGAAAAAGTTTTTTTAAAAAAATTGCAGGCTGTGTAAGCATGTTGTTTCCTGTGGGACCTCACTCGTTCCGTGTGTCTGTTTTTAATGACTGTCCTATGTAAATGCATAAAAAAAATGACACTGAACATGGAATTAATTTACCGCAGTGACTTGATGCTCTAAAAGAAGAGGGAAATCGTAATTACAGATAATTAAACTATGTAGAATTTAATACTAGATGGATTTTACCCCTTGGATTTGTGCTTGTGAAAATGAGTGAAGGAGCTGTAAGTGCTAAGATGATCATGTGTGTAGACAAAAACAAAAACAGGAAAAAAAAAAAAAACATCCCAGCCCTTATATTTGACCATTCTCTGTATGGGGAAAATAATGGCATAAAACAAGTCGTGTGTTCTTTCTTTCTTAAAAATTCTGTGTTACATTACCATGGGAACTCCTTAATAAAGATGAAATGTTGTTGTTTCAGTTGCTGAGCTGTGGTCCAAGAGGTTGATTTTATGTGTGAGATTGCTGTGTTTGTCCATGCCAAAATGGCAGTTTGAGCCAACCCTACCACAACCTGGGGACTTCCAAAGTCCTGAACTTCAAACTTACTGTAAATCCTTGGCCAGATAATAATAATAATAATAATAATAGTAATGACTCGATAGGTAGACAAAATGCCAAATCCAATCTGAACATCTGGCTGACTGTGCGATGATTGATAATAATAATAATAATAATAATCATCATCATCATCATCGGTAAGGACTTGATAGGTAGACAAAAATGCCAAATCCAATCTGAACATCTGGCTGACTGTGCGATGATCAAGAATAAGAATAAGAATAAGTTGCAAGGGACCTTGGAGGTCATCTAGTCCAACTCCCTGCTCAGCAGGACACCCTATACCATTTCAGACAGGCTGTCCAGTCTCTTAAAAACTTCTAGTGTTGGAGCATTCACCGCTTCTGGAGGCAGGTTGTTCCACTGGTTAATTGTTCTAACTGTCAGAAAGTTTCTCCTTAGTTCTAGGTTGCTTCTCTCCTTGATTAGTTTCCATCCGTTGCTTCTTGTCTTGCCTTCAGAAGTTATGAGTGTTCCAACACTGGACGTTTTTAAGAAGAAACTGAACAGCCACTTGTCTGGAATGCTTGAGCAGGGGGTTGGACTAGCAGACCACCAAGGTCCCTTCCAACCCTTTTATTCTGTTATTTTGCTTCATTCTGTAATTGTAAGTGAAGCTTGACTATTTCCTTGTCTAACAGCTAGATGAGAGAAATTACTGAAGAGTGTGTCTACTCGCCAACTCTTCATTCATTGGCTCTGCTTTTTTGATTCATCTTCAATCTTCCAATTCTTTCCCAGTAATTTGAATGGAAGAGTAATAAATCTGGTCTGTTAACCATAATTAAGGTTCCTGCAAGTCCCATGGACTGCAAGGCGATCAAACCGGTCAGTCCTAGAGGAGATCAACCCTGACTGCTCTTTAGAAGGCCAGATCCTGAGGTTGAAACTCAACACCTAATGAGAAGGAAGGACTCACTGGAGAAGAGCCTAATGCTGGGGAAGATTGAGGGCAATAGAAGAAGGGGACGACAGAGAATGAGGTGGCTGGATGGAGACACTGAAGCAGTAGGCATGAGCTTAAATGGTAGAGGACAGGAAGGCCTGGAGGAACGTCCAGATACGACTTCGCAACTAACAACAAGTTTCCAGTTTCTTAGGGTTTCTTTCATGGGGGAACTGCCATGAGAGAATGCCCTCGTCCCCCCCCAAAAAAGCAAAGCCAAAGCATGGATGATAGAGCACATTAGAAAAGTCAAAGGTTCAGCAATTGTAATAGAAACAAAAGTGAAAATGTTTTCATTGTAACTAGCCCCATGCAACTTTAGCTACCTAATTTTGATTGCCATAATTATTCCCTGAGGGGAACAAAGATCTTGGTGTGGAGTTTGTTTGTTCAGCACGCGTTCCGGATTAATTGTCTACTGGGAGTTCCTGAATGAAGAATTGTTTCGTCCTACCAGGTGCGTTAATTACAGACAATATGTTTTCTTTGAATTTCCATTCAGTAATAACCACAATATTTTTCACTCGCTACGTGGCTTGAATGCACTCTGCCTTTCTCTTGACTGGGATGAGAGAGTCAGAGAGAGAAATTAATCTGCAATCATCTTTGGGGATCTTGGTGGAAGCCCAAGACGGCATGGGCTATCTTTCTAGACTAGATTAGACTGGAACTCTTCAAAATTACCACTTTCACTTATAATCAACAGGAGAATCCTTTAGCTTCATTTGTGAACCAGACAACAAACATTCAGCTTATTCAGTCATTTCCAGTAGATATTGATACTTCTCAAGCTTGCTATTGATATTTATTCAAAAACCTCTAAATAGGACTGATCCAAAGCTATGTGTCTGGCTTCAAAGAAACATATTTTTCCCACTGCAAATGGAAGAAAATCGCATCCATGTTGCAGTGTATAATTTATCTAAACCGGGGCTTTTTAACTAGTGGTACGGCTACCACCTGTGGTACATTGGAATCTGGCAGGTGGTACGTGACCATGCTAGAAAAGTAGCAGGGGAGGGGAATGATCTGAACCGGAGGCAGCACTGCACAAACCTGGCTGGAGCTGCAGGGCTGTCAGGGCTCAGTGGAAGCATCAGGATGAGTACCAGGCTCCAGCTGGAGCTTGGCCCTGATCCTCTTTCTGCAGCTTCAAGCTTTTGTATGGCCAAGAAATTGTAGACCAGGGGTCTTCAAACTTGGCCCTTTAATGACTTGTGGACTTCAACTCCCAGAATTCCTCAGCCGGCATGCTGGCTGAGGAATTCTGGGAGTTGAAGTCCACAAGTCATAAAAGGGCCAAGTTTGAAGACCCCTGTTGTAGAGCAGGGGTGCCCAAACCTGCCAACTTGTAAGATTTGTGGACTTCAACTCCCAGAATTCCCCAGCCAGCATGGGTCAGTGGCCAAGCATCTGAATTTTGATCAGGTAACCATGCAGCTGCTACAATATACAAACCAGTCATAAGTCTATTTATTTAGTGTCATTTCAACTTGGGTCACTAAATAAATTTGCTAAGTCAAGGACCAGCTGTATTTTAAAGCCATCTTTGATACCATTCGATGTTGCATGTTAGGTTCTATTAGTTAATAAACTCAGAAATTACAGAAGCATACGTACATTAGAAGTTTCTATCAATTTAAAAAAAAAAATCAGGAAGGGCCAAGTTTGAAGACCCCTGGTCTACAATTTCTTGGCCATACAAAAGCTTGAAGCTGCAGAAAGAGACCAGGGGCCCTTTAACTCAATTGAGTAGACCTAAAGAATCACCCGATCCTAATCTATGCTGTTCAGGATTTTCTTTGATTGCAAACCGATGTGGAATAGTAGCCATTCTGTTAATAGTTAAGTTGGCCTTCAAACTGCGTGGAATTCTCTTGAGCCCTGATGTATCTTCATTTTTTTTCTGTGAATTACTCACAGGTTCTTCTGTCTAGACAGGACATTTATTTGGTATTGTACATAACATTTTTTTTTCTCCACATAGCATGTGGCTGGATTGATTTGTTTTTATAAATATTTCCTGTGCTGCCTGTGAAGAATTTGGGACAATTCACATTCAAAAAATAAAACATAATTAATTGAAAAGCAGGAGAGGTTGGTAAAATGAACATAAATCCAAGTCAGGTTTGACTAAAGACAAGCAGCTCTTGTTTCCTGAAAGGAAGGAGGACCAAGTATAATTGTTGAAATATATTTTATAAAGTTTAATAACTCCTGGTCATGTTTCCTTTGATGAGGAGAAGGTTTATTTCATTTTTCAGGAAATTATAGGCAGTTCCTCAACAATTGAGTCCTAAATTTCTGTCGCTAAGTGAGACAGCTATTAAGTGAATTGGGATGGGATAAGCCAATGAAAATGGCCTAAGTGAAATACAAAATTGGGACAGTTTACAAAAAGTCCACTTAAAAAATCCACATGCCTGACTTTTGTTCTCCAACTAAAGTCAACGTCTAAAATAGATAAGATTTCCTATTGATTCTTCAAAGTGCTCTTATGTTCTCTGCCACCCTTCAGCTAGAACAGAAGCACAATATAATCGGCGCAAAGAGACACAATCTCTTGTCACTGGTACTGAAACCAAGAGCAAGGAGCAATCGACCAGTCCACCATTGGGTGACTTCTATAGAAATGAGATGCCTTATATGGGCACTTGTCTAGGTACACCTACATACACCTACATCATCTTGTTCTTTCCAGTAATCCCCAAACGGTCTTGGGTCATCTCAAACTGTAGAGGAGGACCAAGATGGCGGAGAAAATAAACAGCAACTGTGGTAGGCGCAAAACTCTGTCAAACTGCCAAGATTCTCTTACCACACCCTATATTGATAAAGTAGAGTTGGACTGCGGTGTTTCTAGGGATAACTATTTCATGATCTTGCCTCCCTTGGAGGATTGACACACATAACACTTTGGTATTGTACAAGTACAAGCAGTTGTGCTCAGAAGGTTGTACTGCCTGAATGAATAACAACAAGGCATTTCTCACCAGAGTATCAGGGAATGGTGCACAGGTAGTCTTTGATTTATAACGGTTTGTATAGTGGCCGTTCAAAGTGACAACGGCCCTGAAAAAAGTGACACGACCATTTTTCACACAACTGATGCAGCATCCCTGTGGTCACATTCAGACCCCTGGCAACTGATTCATATTTATGACGGTTGCAATGTCTCAGGATAATGTCCCCCTTTTTGCAACTTCCTGACTAGCAAAGTCAACGGGGAAGCCAGCTTTACTTAACAACTGGGTTACTAACTGAACAAGCTGCAGGGATTCCTTTATCAGCTGTGGCAAGGAAAGTTGTAAAACGGGGCAAAGCTCACTTAAATGTTTCACTTAACAACAGAAGTTTTGGGCTCCTCTCAGGGAACTATATGTACATCCTGTGTGGAGAGAAGTTCTCAGTGGAGGATGGTCCCCAGAACGAGTCCAAAAGTTCAGAAGGCCAAAACCTTTGGGTCCCAATGACCCACCCAGATTGGATCCTAAACACAAGCTTTACTATACAAGGTTTACTGAACGGTTCAAAAGAATAACCCTTCCTTTAAAAAAGAAGAAGAAGAAAAGAATTGCAACCCAAATGGCTCTTCAATAATTAAAAGCAACGAAACTGGGAATAAATGAAAATAGAATGAATTTCATAAATAATCAGCGATGAATAGAAGTGAACGAATGTGTCAGACTGGTCCCAGTTTGCTCTCTAGGAACAAACGACCCTTGACTCCATAAGGGTTAGGGAAAAGGTTATTTTACTGAAGATGTTGAGTGCAGCACGGAGCGAGGCGAGCTCTGAAGAAAAAACATGCAAAAATCATATATGGCAGGGGTCTCCAACCCCTGGTCTGTAGACCAGTACCGGTCCGTGGCATGCCAGCAACCAGTCCACACAAACAAGGAAAGCCCCATCCACAGGATG